TCATGTTCCAGAAGAAGTCCACATGACTTACCTTTCCAGATAATTTTGAAACCCACATATTTCTGTGTGCATTTGTAAATTACCAGCCAGGCCTGGTAACTGGATGATAACTGGTTCCTACGCTGCCCACAACACACCCACTCATTTCAAGCTCCTTTCTCTGCATTATTTCCAGCTGCCAGCTCTAAAAAGCAGCAAGAAATCTCCAATTACAGACACAGGAACCTGGCTCTTCCTGATGCTTCAGGGCCTGTTCTAAGCCATTAGCAACAGCTTAACAAGGGCACTGCAATGTTCTGGAGTTGTGAAGCCAAACACATTGGAAACAAACCCCACAGTATCAATAATATAAGAGGTTTCCTGGATATGTATTTAAATGCAACCCAACAGAATTCAAAGTAGTGTTTCTTTCACACGTTTGTGTGCTATGCTTAGCAAGTCTAAACTGATTGACTGAACAAGTAGTTTCAGAGTGGGAAAGTGGGTGTCCAATTGATAAAAGCAAACCAAAACAAAAACGCAGAAAATTGGCACCAGATCTTGTGACTCCAACATGAAATGTTTCTTCTGGACCCAAAGGAAACATTCTGAATTCCAAAGCAACCCAAAACCAGACATAGCATTACAGCCTATAAATCTGTGTCAGTAGTACCTTGTTTATACATCCCCTGTCAAAGTCTGACTGCTGATTGGCCTTCCCAATATCTGAGAGAAATATGCTGTAAGGAATGGGAGACCAACACAGACAGCACTACACGTTATGAATGACTCAGAAAAGCAGGCATTTTGGCCTTCAGCAGAAACGGATTGTCACCATATGCTACACAGCTTGTCATATGTGCCATCAATTCAGTCATGTCTCAGGCTTTTAGGGGAAGGGTGCAGATATGACAGTGCTGTGGTACCAGTATTGCATGGACCTTGCTGGTACCACTAATTAAGTCTACCACAAATGCCTCAATGAAGAGCAGTTTTTTTCTTAAAAAAAGTTATTAAAATTACAGTAGGTGAAACAAATTATTGAAGCCTACTGTTATGCTTACTAGAGCACTCACGATGTATTCCTTTGTTCCCTGCCTTGGAGCAAGTGAAGGAGAAGGGGGCAGTCACCTCAAGTAAGAGAAGCAGGCAGACAGTAGAGTTGAAGTGATCTGTTCCCTCCAGGCAGGAGCAAAGGCCAAATCATGATGAGCAGAGGGAATGTCGAAAAGCTGATTATCTGGCCCCTAAAGGTAGACTTATGGGGTTTGTTCAATTATTTTATCAGAGATCATAGTAGTAATTGGCCGAGATGATACAAGGTTTTGAGATTAGGCAAATCAATACACCAAGAAGCACAATGGCTCTGCTGTGTATTTAACTCATCTCTGGTTTTAAGTGAACGTTCTCTCAAACACTAGCCAGCACTTTAACATACAGCTGGCATTTCAGTAGAAGACTATCTAGAACACTACTCATTTTATATGCATTCCATGTATTTTGCACCAAGTTTTGAATGAAAATCTCAAAGCATAATTCAGTACACAAAACCTAGACACTTTTTACCTATGAAAATATTACATACAATATTTTCAAGTCATTCCTGGTTTCTCTAAACATCATTACCATGATTAATTAACATCAATTATCACCATTGGACTGGTGACGTTAGCTTTCAAAAAGAAGAGCGAAAAAAAAACCAACAAGCCAACCCCCAAGAAAAACCAGCCAAACAAAACCAATACCTGCTGAATTGCATATTTTCATTTTAAGGAGAAAAGAGATAAACTGCTGTAGCTTGAAAAAATTTCCAAGAATAGAAGTTTGGATTTGACTTTGGGAAAATTGCATTCTATTGAAAGAACAATGAAACATGTTCTCAGTGCTCTCACATATTAGAACTCACTGAACTCACTGAAAAGTCTACTTACGATCATTACACTGGCTCCCAGAATATGAAGTCATGGAGCAATCACAGGTGAAGCCTTCCCACTGCTGATTACAGATGCCCTGATTCGCACAGGAATCTTCCTGGCAGGTAGTACTCGGTCCTGGAGAAAGGATGACAAGGAAAGAGTGAAATAAAGCTGATTCACCTTGGTCAGGCCCACAAAAGCTTCAATTAATCACTACCATTACCATCAGGGATCCTCATGCAGAAGAGAGAAAGCACTAACCAAACACTGTTCCACTCCTAGACGTGCAAGAAACTCAGGTAAAAAGAGCACAAAGACAAATGTACATATCACAACAAAACAGCAAACTATAACACAAAGCAAGGAAGAGGGAACAGCAACATATTCCCTCTTAGGCAGACTCAACTTGCATGTTCCAAACTTGCTCAAAGAATTTTACAGTAAAATAGGGGGTGATGCCAGGCCAACAGACATAGCCAGGTTGTTGTGCCTCCCTAAATGTTTGATCCCCTTATAGAAATGAATGCTAATTAATAGGCCAATGAAGAATGCATCACCACACCCAAAGAACCCTGATAATGTGGATTCAAACTGAAGTTTTGAGGCCCCCGCTGGTTACAACTTGGCTTTATAGGCTAATAGCAGTCAGACAAACAAAAAAACAAACACTCTGAACTATTGCATAGGCTCCTCTGGAAACATTATAATAAAGTCCTCAGAAAGGCATGACATTTATCCACAACAATTGTCTTTTTGGACTGCTTTCCATGCTGTTGGTGGAAGCAGAGAAGGAAGCAGTCACTACTTATAGATTTGTAGCTAAGAGTTGCTATCCTACTCAGACAAGCCTTGCAAAGACAAAATCCAAGCAACAGGCAAAAAAATAATCTTCAGATCAGACAGACTCTGAATGACAGCCACTATGTCATCCACAAGGAGGTATCTGGATTCTGAATCATCTGAGTGATTGTGTGAAGCTGCAAGCCATAGATTACAAGAACATGAGTTTACAAGTTACTTCCTGGGAAAGTATTTTATATTCAGCGTTCTAGACAAAGGTATGTCACTTCTGTTGCACAAGATTTTAAATGAAATGTACATATACATTTGACATAATTACTATGCTATATCCTGTATGTGTTGGAAAAGATGAAATTAAAGAAATAAAGCAGATAATAAAGGATCAAGTGGCTAGGCTGCCTGAGATCACCTCATTAACCACTTCTAGTCTAGGAGAATACTATAAGGGCAAAGAAACAACTGTTCAACCCATCCCAGCATCTTTCTTCACCGTCTTTGCTAGCAACAGCAACTCCACAAGACTCAATCCTTCTTATTTCTTCATGACATCAACACCACCATCTGTATGTTATGGATTAGATAGGACAGACCAAAGTGGAGACAGCATTTTTAAATATTTTAACATAAAACGAAACCCTTCAACCTCCATCGGACGCCATCCATAGTGATTTCACTAAATACCATCATTATTCAACGTCTTTGATATTGAGATTGCACACTGATCACCTCCATATTTACAAGCCCTTGTAGAACCCACATCAAATTGGAAGTCCCATGTCAGGCTCTGATCCTCCCAATAATTCAAAGACCAAGCCAGGAATGGACCTTTAAAGCTATGGTGCACAGTTTCTACTCTCCCCACCAGATCATCTTTCTTCACTGAAAGAACAGAATGGATGAATTTCAGTAGGTTTTCAGCTATCTGCATTTCTTTACGTCTCTCCTGAACTGAGAATGAACATGTGCCTTGGTAAGCAGTGTTTGACTGAATGTTAACTAAAACCTGAGCTTTTTCCAGAATTTATTACAGCATTAAAAAACCAAAACCAAACAAACCCCAAAACCTCTAGGTAGAAGTGTAAGTGTGGTTAATAGAAGACTACAAAAAAAAAATCCCTGAAGGAAAGTTCACCAATTGAAAAGAAGCAACAGCAGCAGACACAGCAAGAAAACCCCTTGCTGCCGTGCTGAAGGAAAGTTGAGCAGCATTTTTCAACACTTTTCTCCTCCCCTTTGCCTCTTCTTCCCACCCACCTGACTCTCATGTGTGGCCATATGAATCCCAATGGCCTCAGTGGCACAGTGTGAAATGAATAGATCACTTCTAGGTTAGAGCAGAGCTGACAGACATTCCAGCGTGGGCTGGCAGGCACATGTATGTACAGGCCTCCCTCCTGCCTTGACTCTTATAAAAATCATGGAGATTAATATATATACATGTGCATCAGGTTGTGGTCTTGCTTCAGATTTACACTTCAGGTGGACACTTGCTTCAGATTTACTCTGGCCAAGCAGAAGAAGGGATAACATCTAACAATCTAAATTAGAATATTAGTTGTCATTTTGCCAATATTGTCTAAATTATCTGAGAATAAGGAATGAGGAACTGATACCTCTCCTGCACATTACTATACCACTAACCTCAAACATGAATGCCAATACTCCTAGAGGTATAAAAAAGCAAGAGACCTATATTTTAAAAATTAAACCAGAAAGCAACTGGGACTCTATGCAAACTTGCTACATCATCAACTATAAAGACTATTACACAGAAGCAAAGTAGAACACCATTTTCAACAGCATTTCTCCACTTTCCTACGTTCTTCTGAGAATGCTTTAATCAGTAACTGGACTTGACAATGGGCATATCCTTTGCCTAGATGCCTCAAGAGAAAGGACACTATTCAAGGAATAAGACTGCATGAGGCCCAGTACCTGTGCCTTGAGGTCTTCATATGATAGAGCCCAGAGAACCAAAGTACTTGAATTCATGGCCTGTATTATGGTGTCTGAATTGTATTTAACAGAAACCAACTGTGAAGATGGGAACAGCACTTTCAGCAGCCAGAGGTGGAAAAAAAAAAAGAAAAAGAAAAAAAGGACAATGATGAGGAATTTTGAAAGCCTGACAATACCACAAGGAAGCTTGAAGCCTGACCTGCCATCTTTAGAGTCAGTCGTGACAGCACAGCACAGATGCTGGGTACTTGGCCTCACTTCTTAGTACTATGGGCCATTTGAATCATAAAAGGATCTTTGTCTATAGAGTTCATCTCCTCCTGCTGCTAACAGTCATTGCCTGATGTCATAATCCTCTGTGGCAACAGAATTTTCTTCAGAGCAACTAATAGGGATGTCACAGGGAATTAGGATTTTGGATTAGGGAGCAAAGTGACAGAAGCACAGGAAGGATTATAAAACATGAAGATTGTGTTACCACGCACATGCCCTTTAGTGCTAACTAACAAGGAAAGAAGATGACAAACAACTTATATATAAAGCAGTAGAATTGTTTCTAAATTACCAGTGCCATCAGGACTCAGGTCTATTTTTAATCTCATTCCTCTGGCAACACTAAGCAGACAAAATATTTAAAAGCAAAGTTTCAGAACTAGTCTTCACATAATAATCTGAGATACCTCTGATTTTCTTGTCTGTCTGTAGCTGAGCCTGGTGCATTGCCTTCTTCGTGCCACACTGGAAAGAGGAATAGGTGGGCAGTAGATATCAAGTAAAAGTGAAAAGTCCCCAGTGTGGAAAAGCAACCCTGCTAGCAGAAGCATGACTTGATGTGTCTCTTCCTGTCCAGGCTACGCCTACCAACAAAGGCATCTCCTTTGGAACGTGAAATGGCAAACCAGGATTCTTCAATATCCTTTTTATGTCTGCATCTCTAATATTTACAGCTCAGTATCCAAGGACTTGCAGGATCTGAGATTTGCTGGGTCTCCCTCCCTGGGAAAGAGACCAGTACTACATTTTTTTTCACCTACCTATCCAGATGTATTGTTTGTCTATTAGTTTTTTTACTAAGAATTTGAAGAAAATCGCTTTTGAAGAGTATAATAGCCTGATCTCGTATCTGTATTCTGCTTAGACAAATTGCTTTGTCTACCCTCTTCCCTACAGTATCAGTTGTATGGTACATTTCTCTTTGCCCTGAAATTAAAAAAAAATAATAATTCTACTGTTACATGTTGCTAAAACTTCCATGTTTCACTGGCAAGAAAAGTCATTCCTTCTGTATCGTTTGAAAGCTCTTTGAAGGAAAAGGAACTTGAGAAATAAAAGACAGTATTGTGTTTATTGTTCTTTCAAGTTACACGTGGAATCAGTTTATATAGCAGGATTATAATACAACTGCCTCATGCTTTGATCACAACTAGCAATAAATATTAGGATAACCAAGACATTATTGGTCTTACACATAACACCTTTCTCCACACATCTAAAATTTACTCTTTTTGAAGGGAGTCAACCATTTTTGTCAATATTATTGTCTCAATATGATCAGCAACAGGGTAAGTTCATGACAGTTTGGTTCCATTTTCATTCTTCATCTCCCTAAATGCTCTCATCGTTTCCCTTGTATCTTCAGAGATGTTAGGAAGCAATAGGAAAGTAATATACACAAGACATCTTTACAGCCTTTGCAGAATAAGGTCCTTCTTCAGTCCTACAGTTCCTAAATTACAAATGCCACCCAGCACTGAAATATCTCTACCACTACAAGTCAGACATTACAATCAAATTACACCTTTGATAAATCTATACTCTACTTCTGCCAGCATTCCTCTTTCATAACCAGAGATAGTCAGCCGTTTTAAATTCAATCTGCAATAGAGTTCTGCTCAGAGGGGCATCAGGTCTTGGAAACCATATGCACCAGGCAGAAAATAAACCTGTTCCAGGACTCACTCTTCCTGCAGGTTAAGTAGGAAACAAAGTTATGCCCAATAGTTTTCCAGTGTTAGAATGATTTAGAAAACAAGATTTATCCTGAGTATAAATTAAGTCTGATTCTCATGGAACCATCACTTTATGGGATGGACCATACCACATATACAGTAACTGCCAAATACATACTGGTGGAATGTCAGCATTTACTTTGCACAAATGCAAGAAACTAAATTATAGTCAGAGTTCAGTGCATGATTCAGAAAGTTAGATCCCGTATTTTGAGTCACAGATAGCAGAAAGCAGGAATATCACAGACTAATATAGCAAACCAGAACCAAAAACCAAACAGATTTTCAAGGATTGCAAGGCCAGCTCTTCAAGCTCTCAGTTTCATACTTTGTTAAGAACTCATCATCCCTTTCATCACCTAAATAAGGTTAGGCATCTGTCAGGTTCCATATTTAAAGTTACTCATTGTCAGAAATAACTCAAAAGCCAGCATTCTTCTGTCCTCTGAAAAATGTAGCCATTTTTTTCAGTGCCTCAACAGAGCCTGAATACTTCACCCACCTGACATAAGTCATGGTGCTGAGTCCTTTTGTTCCAAATAAGTGGCTGGTCTGAAAACTTCAGGAACTGGGACTAGTTAAAATAACAAATATGCACAAATGTGCTTTCTCCCACAGAAAGCACATCTATCTCAAGGTTAGAGAAGAAGGGAATCAAGCAGTAATGGCAATCCATAGAAATGGGTCTGCATAGTGGTGGGATTTCATTCCCCTCAAAGAAAGCTGTCATATACCATCTTCCTCTCCCTTGTCACCCTTCCACTCTCCAGTTCTAAGTAACCTAAAAGTTCATGAGTAACATGCTTATACACATGCTGGTGAGGGAAGAACAAACAAAAGGCCGAAAGAAAAATCCCAACCACAGAACAAAAAATCAACTGCGTAAAAGGGAGTATGCCTGCACACAGAAAGCAACAAGGGACAGGGAGATGCAAATGAAGCAGAGGAAATAAACAGCAGTTGTACATTCAGACACAGAAACTAAAAGCATAAAGGAAAATTTAAAGGGTTATACATGAACAAGAAAAAACAGAGTACATTGGATAAACATCCTTTCTCACTGCAAATCACAGCAATATAAATGAATCACAGAATAGTCTGATTTGGAAGGGATCCCACAAGGATCATCAAGTCCAGCTCTTAAGTATGAGGCATCATGGCCTCTCCTGAAATAGCCAAACCTATTTAGCAAAGGTTGGTTTCCTGAAAAGCCAATAATCCACTTTATGCACTCAAGCCAAATGCTTCCCCTTAGGCTTCAATGCAATCAGATGTCATTATCTGAAGGGAAAATATTCCTACAGGGCTAAGACTTCTGTAAAAAACTGAGCTTGAGATGGAATAATCTTCACAGCTGTAATATTCCTTTGCTTCAGAGGACTCTGTAAAAATCAAAACAATAGATCTGTTTGTTCCAGAACTTCCTGTTCATGATGCATCCACTTCAATAAACATCAAAAATTAAGCTCAGGAATTCCTGAGCATTTTGAATTCTGATGGATACATAACTGACTACAGAGAACAACAGTGGCTGTGGCAAGAGAGACACAATATTTGCTGATGTCTAATGTAAGTCCCAAAAGCATTGCCACAATTTGACTGGATGGCACCAAATCTTAATCCTAAAGTTATTTATACTCCAGTGTACTCCCAGGACACTTTTTTCCCATCTCATTGGTCCCAGTCCACATATATTTCCTATCTTTTCAAATGTCATCTTTTACCCCTTTCATTTACATAAACTTCAGAAATCCCCTAGGGGCAGCATCTCTCTATATCACTGTCAATGTCTCATATGGATCCAATTGCTAAAATTATCTCAGACTGTCAGTATCACTACCTGTTGGGTGAGAGGGTATCTCTTAATATGTTCCTGTCAAAAACTGCTACAGTGATAAACTGTTTACCTATTAAAACATCCTTACTCCTCCAAATTTATTTTTATCCTTTTCTACTGAGCTGTAGAACACCAAACTATACCTAAAAACACGGATTATATCCTGAAGGAAATGCAATGCTTATACCTGCAATACAGAACAAGAAAATTTTAATTTGAAAATGGCATGTATTGCATTAAATGAGATCAGCAATAGCAGCAGGTCTTCACAGTAAACATAGCAAACAGAAAAGGAGTTTATGAATCCTGTGATTCAAGCTACAAAACCTTAATTCCAGAGATATGTAAAATGTCTGGAAGTCTCTATGCCAGAGGATGAAGCAGGAACATTCTATGGGTTTGTCTGGTAACAGAACCTTAGACATAAAGTGGCTTAGACATAAAATTTCAAGGTGACTAAGATGATGCCATAACAGAAGCCATCTGTAGCTGCAGAACTCCTAAACGGAGACACATTGTTCAACACCTCTGACCTGCCCTTATACCTGAGATTATTGTCTCCTTTTCCATTAAAAAGGAGGAGCAATTTTTAAACTTTCATGGCATCCCAGAATAAATTAATCTGTACACTATAGTGAGGTCTTTACAGATAAATTGGGAAGTACACTTTCATTATCATATTCAAAAGGATTCACTTTCAATGCCATGGAAAACGTCTCTCTGTTTATACTAGTATCAAAACCTATTAGTTTCTAATAGGCATGTTTCCTTACTTATGTCCCAGGCAAAAAATCTACAGGGTCTCTGAGAATACCTGATTTCCCTCTTATTCTCACAAGTGCTACTCAACCTGCTCTCTGGTTCTGTGACTCTGATGACCCTCCTACAAAAACAAACCTTTCCTGCCCAGATTATGGCTTCTAAAAAGCCATTCTATATATTAAGAGAGCTTGTAGTTTAGAGATTTTGGTGACTTTTTTTTGTTGTTGTTTTATTTTAAAACTGAAATTTCAGAAAATTATTTCTGTGGAGTTTTTTTCTAAAATGTAAATGAAAAAAAACCCCAAAAAATCGCCCAGTTTTTACCTCCTGATCTCCCTCCTTAAGATCAGTACTAAAGAAACAAAGTCAGTTTTCTGTTTCTTAAAGCTCTGAGGGCCTTTTATGTTTTGATGCACTGCAGCTATTTGCCTGATCATTAGGCTTTCCAGGAAATCAACTGCTTTTATGGCTATTCAGAGATTGACACAGCCAAACCCCCCAGGTTTGACAGAAGCAGCTCCATTGTTTGGCATGTTCTTCTTCAACCTAGAATCCCCCTCCAGAGATGCTGGTTTGCCATCCTGTTCCTGTCTTAGAGGTGTGATTGCATCCAGCAATAAACAACAGGTTAGTATAAAAGCAGATAAACCAGGGTAACATCACTTTGAATAAATAAAAGCAACTGGTATAATTATCAGAGCCAACATGCATAATCAAAGCACACACAAATGACAACGTAAGCAACAAGGGCACAGGGGGACAATGACTACATTAATGCAACCAACAGATAACTAAACCAAACAAAAAGAGAAGAAATGCATTTCATTTGTGCACACAAAATCACGAAACTTACAGATAGTACAAAGAGAGGAAAAAATATCACATTATTTAACCTATCTCTCAGCATTTACAATAATTTTAGAGACATTTTTTCTTATTTTAGAAATACATAGAATCCATTTAAGTAAAAAAATCTATTTGACGTTCAGTACCTCAGTCAAGCATATATCTAGTTTGTTCAGTTTTTGTCTAAAGTGGATTCATTTCCAGAAAACCACAGAGGACTGATAACTCTATAAGACTTTAAAATTTTCTGTTTATCCAAAGAACTGAACTTGACACTGGATATAAGTAACAGTAATACCTTGCCCCCTCACAAGCTGTCACCTGCTCATGGATTTCAACACATCCTTAAAAAAAAACTTACATCAACAGGCATGCAGACAGCTCAGGCTTTAGACCCACATAGTCTTAATGAGTCACCAGAGCAACCAAAAAAGCAGAGTACCAGCTCATTATTTCACCTAGGTCAGAATGATCTTGTTATCTGTGGTCAAATCATATTTCACATGGCAAAAGAAAATCATAGATCTACTAAGTCTAACTGTCTAAAGATCCAAATACAGTTTCTGAAGAGTGAGAAGCATTAAAAGCAAAACAATACCACTAATGCTCTTCCATGGAGGCACAGGGTTTTTTATTTTTTCTTAAATTTTGTTTGGGCTTTTTGTTCTGTTTTTGCTTATTTTGTTTGTTTGGTTTGGTGTTTTTAATGCAATTTACAAGGAAGCCACATAGATTTTCAGTGTGTTATACCCTGATTCTAAGTTTTCTCTTTCAGAATGGAAAAAGTAGAGGACAAAGATGGGGGCACAGGCAGCAGCTCCTGAATCCCCTCCTCCTGAAGGTTAAATATTTCTATTACATAG